GCCAACATCATACTCAATGGGCAAAAACTAAAACCATTTCCCCTAAGAACAGGAACAAGACAGGGGTGTCCACTTTCACCACTTATTCAACATAGTACTGGAAGTCTTAGCCATAGCGATTAGACAAGAAGAAAATATAAAAGGGATCCAAATTGGAAAGGAGGAAACAAAACTATCATTCTTTGCAGATGACATGATATTGTACATAGAGAATCCTAAAGACTTCAACAGAAAACTACGAAATTTAATAAATGAATTCGGTAAGATAGCGAAATATAAAATTAACACCCAAAAACCAATAGCATTTTTATACACCAATATTGAACTCTCAGAAACAGAAACTACAAAAACAATCCCATTTACCATTGCAACTAAAAAAATGAGATATCAGGGAATAAACTTAACCAAAGATGTAAAAGACCTTTACTCAGAAAACCACAGGACACTGAAAAAAAAATAAAGGAAGATGTAAACAAATGGAAAAATATACCATGTTCATGGATTGGAAGAATTAACATCATTAAAATGTCCATATTACCCAAAGCAATCTATAAATTCAATGCAATCCCTATTAAAATAGCAACAACATATTTCACAGATCTAGAAAAAACACTTCAAAAATTTATCGGAAACCAAAAAACACCCTGAATAGCCACAGCAATCTTGAAAAAGAAGAACAAAGTTGGAGGGATCACAATACCAGATATCAAGTTATACTACAAAGCCACTGTAATCAAAACAGCCTGGTCTTGGCGCAAGAACAGACATATTAATCAGTGGAACAGAACAGAGAACCCAGAAATTGACCCATGCCATTATGGTAATTTAATATTTAACATAGGAGGCAACAACATACAATGGAGTAAAGACAATCTTTTCAATAAATGGTGTTGAAAAAATTGGACAGGTACATGCAAAAAAATGAAACTTGACTACCAACTTACACCATACACAAAAGTAAAGTCAAAATGGATAAAAGACTTAAATATAAGGTATGAAACCATAAAAATCCTAGAGGAAAAGATAGGCAGTAAAATCTCAGACATCTCTCATAGCAATATGTTTGCTGATTCATCTCCAAGAGCAAGAGAAACTAAGGAGAAAATAAACAAATGGGACTGCATCAAAATAAAAAGCTTCTGTACAGCAAAGGAAACCATCAAAACAATACAAAAAGGGAGCCCACAGTATGGGAGAACATACTTGCCAATGACACATCTGATAAAGGGTTAATATCCAAAATGTATAAGAAACTTATTCAACTTAAAAGGAAGGCAAACAATCCAATTAAAAAGTGGGCAATGGACCTAAAAATAGACACTTGTCCAAAGAGGACATACAAATGGCTAAGAGACATATGAAAAAATACTCAACATCACTAATCATCAGAGAGATGCAATTTAAAACCACAATGAGGTATCACTTCACACCTGTCAGAATCGCTACCATCAACAAGTCAATGAATTACAAGTGCTGGGAGGGTGTGGAGAAAAGGGCACCCTTAGCACACTGCTGGGGGGAATGCAGACTTGTGCAGCCACTGTGGAAAGCAGTATGGAGTTTACTCAAAAAATTAAAAATGGACCTGCCATTTGACCCAGTGATCCCACTTCTAGGAATATATCCTAAGGAACCCCAAACACCAATTGCAAACAATTTATGCATCCCTATGTAATCAGTGCAATTCACAATAGCCAAGATTTGGAAATAGCCCAAGTGGCCATCAGTAGATGAGTGGATAAAAAAGCTTTGGCACATTTACAGCATGGAGTACTATGTGGCTGTGAAGAGAAAAGTCCTTTTGGGCTTTAGCACAGCATGGAGGGAACTAGAGAGTATTATGCTAAGTGAAATTTGCCAGTTGGAGAAGGACAAGTACCAAATGATCTCGCTTCAACCTGGAATATAATAAACAAAATAAACTGATGAACAAAGTTGATCCAGTAACATAGAAGCTTGGAACAAACTGAGGGATATCAGAGGGAAGGCGGGGAAGGGGTGTGGGTGGAGAGATTAATCAGGGAACTTGTATATTTATGGGCATGGCCCATGGATGTGGACATTGGTGTGGGGAGGGACTGGGGGTGGGATGGATGTGGGGTGGAGGGCATCAGTAGGGTTAAAAGGGGGCCATCTGTAATGGTCTCAACAATAAAGATAAACATTAAAGTATATCTATATCTATATCTATATCATCTATATCTATATATATATATAGATATATATATAGATATATATATGCTGCCCCTCAAAAAAAATAAAATAAAATAAAATAAAATTCAAGAAGAAATAAACAGCTTCCCAGACAAGAAAAGGCTATAAGAGTTCATTAAAACCAAACCAGTTTTATAAGAAATGTTGAAATACTTCTTTAAAAAGAAGGGAAAAAAAAAAAAGAGAGGAACATAATTAAAAGACTAAAATGACAATAAATGCATACCTATAAATAATCACTGGAAATGTAAATGGTTTCTTACAAAGGTAAATGGAATTACTTTGTGTTTTTCTTAGTTTCTCTTTCTGAGAATTCACTATGGTGTATAAAAATGCCATCAATTTCTGGTTGTTAATTCTCTATGCTGATACATTGCCAAATTTATTTATTAAATCTAGTAGATTTTGGTGGAGTCTTTTTTTTATTAAAAATATATCTTTATTGATTACAGAGAGAGGAAGGGAGAAGGAGAGGGAGAGATAGAAACATCAATGATGAGAGAATCATCATTGATCGGCTGCCTCCTGCATAACTCCAAGTGGGGATCGAGCCCGCAACTAGGACATGTGCCCTGATCAGGAATTGAACTGTGATCTCCTGGATCTTAGGTCAGTGTTCAATAGCTGAACCATGCCCGGCCAGGCTGATGGAGTGTTTAATAAACTTAACAAAGAGGTAGAAGACCTCTACTCAGAAAAATACCATTTACCATTGCAACTAAAAAAATAAGATGCCTAGGAATAAACCTAACCAAGAATGTAAAAGACCTGTATTCATTCTACCCAGAGCAAACAATAAATTCAATGAAATCCATATTAAAATACCAACAAATTTCAGAGATTTAGAACAGAACAAATACTCCAAAAATTTATATTGAACCTAAAAAGACCCCAAATGGCCACAACAATCTTAAGAAAGAAAAACAAACTTGGGGGAGATCACAATACCAGATATCAAGTTATACTACAAAGCCACTGTATCAAAACAGCCTGGTACTGACACAAGAACAGGCATACAGATCAATGGAACAGAAAAAACAAAAACATCAAAATTGGAAAAGAGGAATTAAAACTGTCATTATTCACAACTTACATGTATTATGTCAGGAACCAGCCTGGAAGAACAAACCTGAGTTCAAGTGGTGGGAATTAAAGAGACAAAGTTATGGGATCAGGAGGGCTGCCCTCTGAGATGTTTTGTATTTCTGCTCAGACACAGACTGGGAGTAAACATAGGAATATTAACACTACAGCCAACAACATAATGCCAGAATAGAATAATGAAAATAAACTATGTCTAGAGATAATATTAGAAAACTTATCAAACAGTTCTTTTGCTAAGTCTGCGGGTGAGGTATCTAGAGGAGGAGCAGATTCTATAGCATTTATATCAGCATGTAAGCGAGCACCATCTACAGATACATTATCTTGATTCCATATCCCTATAAGATGGTTTTTAATCCTATCCCACCCCCATTCAGAGTTTCTTAGTAACACCGATCCTTTGAAACTGAGCATGACACTGCAGCAACATTCTAACCTTCACACTTTGAATGTTATCTCCTATAAGTAACACAGCTTCTTCTAACACATTCAACTTATCCTCTAATTTCTTATCAATTTTTTCTTGAGCTCCCAAAGCATCAGATACCTTTTTTGCTAACCCATTAACAAAACTCGCTGTATGTATTTCTTGAGTAAGAGCAATTCCAGCAATAGAAGCTGTAGCAATAATAGAAACTAAAGCAGCAATACTGGCTATCAACAGTCCCAAGAAGCTTTTAGTTCTCTCCAATAGTTCTTTTAACTCTTGCAACACTTCAAGTCCCATGTCCTTGCGTCTTAACCAGAAGCATTACAAACNACTTCAAGTCCTTCATTAGTACACCAGCGTCCTTGCGTCTTAACCGGAAGCATTACAAATGCAGGTTGGTGCAATACCAACAAATCTAGGTTTGCATTAGCACTAGATACACAATTTGTAAGGTTACAATTTACACAATTAACGGTGTAATAATCAGCTAATTTCTTAATCAAAACCTTACCTACTAGTAATACTTAAGAAGGAGGAACACAGGCTAAACCTCCTTTAACAAAATAGTTCCCATTTGGATGATTCTCAGCTTTATGTCTAACTATGACAATGTCCGTGTTTGCTACTAACTTCCATACATTAGGTTGAACTCATCCATGCTCTGTTGTTGGTAGAGTCTCCACAAATCCTCAGCATATTTCCCATTGGGGGATCTCCAGTTCTGCTCAGCTGCTGAGAAACCTTCTGCATCCGAATTTTTAAAATTAAGGGTAAATAAAGAGAGATTAAGTATATTACTAGGAGAATGGCAGGTATATTCCCCCTTCTTTACTTTTGCAATTTGAGCCTTTAAGGTCCTGTGGACTCACTCGATTATTCCCTGGCCCTGAGGATTATAAGGAATGCCTGTGGTATGAGTAATTTGGAAAGCTGCACAAAACTCTGTAAAAGTTTTGCTAGCATATGCAGGCCCATTGTCAGTTTTTATAATTTTTGGAATGCCCAAGATGGCAAAACATGATAATACATGACAAATAACCTGTTTTGTATTTCCCCCAGTATGTGCGGTTGCCACTAAAAATCCAGAAAAAGTATCCACTGTGATGTGCACAAATGATTGGCGACCGAATTCAGCTATATGAGTAACACCAATTTGCCAAATATGTCCTGGGAGCAATCCCCGTGGATTAACACCATACTGAGGTACAAGGGGGATATGCTCAGGACAGTTTTGACATCCCTTTACTATTTGTCAGTTGGCTTCACGAGTAACGTTAAATTGTTTTCTTAAACCGGAAGCATTTTGATGATGCAGAGCATGTGAGGCTTGTGCTTGTTCAATAGAGGAAATAACTAAGAAAGTGCCATGAGTCAACATGTCTGCTTGTGCATTTCCTTCTGCTAAAGGTCCAGGGAGAATTGAGTGAGCTCTGATATGTCCCACAAAACAAGGTAAGGTTCGTTGCTGAATCAGTTGCTGTAAAGACAAGAGCGCAGTTATTACTGTAGAGGGATCACTGTCAGTCAGGGTAGCCGTCTCCAAACCTTGAATGATAGATACAATGTATTTAGAATCTGTGTACAAATTAAATTTTACATCTTGCAAGCATTTAAATACTGCAATGACAGCTACTAACTCTACTCTCTGTGCAGAGGTTTCTTTAGTATTCAATGTATAGCCCTGATTATTGATAACATAGCTGGCAATTCCAGACATCAACCCATCAGTAAACACTAGAAGAGCATCAGACAGAGGTTCTTTAGAGGTAGTTTTTGGAAATATCACAGGGTTTTGAATGAATAGCTGTAATAATTTATCTGATTGATAATGGCAGTTGATCTGTCCACTGTAATCTGAAAAAGCAATCTGCCATAAAGTTTCATTTTGCCACAACCACTGTTGCTGCATGGAACTGTAAGGCACAATAATAGTGGCAGGCTGTTTCCCAAATAACTCTATAGCTCTTTTTCTACCCTGCAATATTAATTGTGCCACTGACATGGCATAAGGTGTGATAACCTTTTTTCTGGAGGAAGATAAATGAATCCATTCTATTGGAGCTTCTTGCCAAAACAAACCAGTAGGGAAATAATTTGTAGGTAAGATAATTAGTTGCCAGGCTTTTGTGTAATCAATTCTAATTACCTGTTGTTGTGAGATAGCGTTCTCTACCATCTCTAGAGCCTGTTGTTCCTCAATGGTTAATTCTCGAGGACTACGAGGGTCAGGGTTGCCACAGAGTATGTCAAATAGTGGTTTTAATTCACCCATGGTTAAGCCTAAAGAAGGCCTTATCCAATTAATGTCCCCCAAAAGTTTTTGGAAATCATTCAAGGTGGATAGACTGTCTGTTCTGAACTGAAATTGTTGTGGCCTTACTTTCCGTCCTTCTATCAATTTCCCTAAGTAATTATAAGGCATGGTCTGTTGAATCTTTTTGGGGGCTATGACAAGGCCAAATCTATTTGGTTGAAGTTCCAACTCTGAGTAAATCACTTTTAAGTTTTCTGGATCATGATGAGCCACTAAAACATCATCCATATAATGGATTACATAGGCTTCTGGATGTATCTTTTGAATCTCTTTAACAGCTGTAGCCACAAATTTTTGACACAATGTGGGACTATTTGCCATGCCCTGGGGCAAAACTCTCCAGTGATATCTCTGCATTGGTTCCTTAAAATTGGTTGAAGGAACACTGAAGGCAAATCTTTTACAATCTGCAGGGTATAATGGGATGGTGAAAAAGCAGTCTTTCAAGCCTAATACTATGAAATGGTATCTTGCAGGAATGGCCACCAGAGAGGGCAAACCTGGTTGTAAAGGCCCCATAATTTCCATAGTCTTATTTACTGCTCTTAAATCCTGCAATTGCCTCCACTTTCCAGATTTTTTCTTAATAACAAATATAGGTGTATTCCAAGTACTATTAGATTCCTCAGTGTGCCCCTGAGCTAATTGTTCCTGCACCAATTGCTGGGCTGCTTGAATTTTTTCCTCTGATAAAGGCCACTGCTCCACCCATACAGTATTATCAGATGTCCAGGTAATAGGGTCCGCTGTAAGAGAGGCAGGAATAGCAGTGACCTTTAGGACAAATTTGAATCATAGCTAAGACCTTGTTTTGTCAGTTGGCCTTTGCAGGGAATGGGTTGTTCTATCCCCTGGCCATGTTTGCCCAGTTCCTGCCCTGGTATGTAACCTTGGTCTAACATATGATTAGTTACCTTAGTATTTGGGCTACACAATAACACTCCCATATCTTTGAGAACATCTCGGCCCCACCAATTACATGGCAGAAAAAGCAATACATAAGGTTGAAATTTACCAGACTTTCCCTCTGCATCTCACCATGTAAGAATCTGTGTACTTTGCAGTGGAGATTGAGTCTGTCCAATTCCTTGTAAAGCGGTCATAGCAAGTTGCACAGGCCACTGGGATGGCCAGTATAACTAATTACTGAAACATCAGCTCCTGTATCAAGCAATCCATTAATTTTCTTACCATTAATCAGCAGTTCTCTTTCAGGTCTCTCAGACCCCACTGTTTGAATCCAATAAGCTCTATTGGAAGAGCCAACGCCATGATTTCCCCTATCCTATTGAGATAAAATTCTTCCTATCTTCTTAAAGGGTAATAATATCAATTGTGTGATTTTCATTTCAGGAGTTAATGTAATGATATTAAGAGGGGCTATACACATGACCTTTAACTCCCCTGTATAGTCAGAATCTATGACACCTAGAAAAACTTGAAGTCCCTTCATCATTAGCCCGCTACATCCTAATAACAGGTCTACAGTGTCTCTTGGCAGAGTCCCATATACCCTTGTGGGTATGGCTTGGGGTCCCATCTCAGGTGTTAATATGTAGCGAGTGGTGGGACTGCACTTCCTGGCATGGCTCTATATAGGTCCTGTATTCCCTGTTTGGTCTCTCGTAATCCTGGGGTGGGTAGACTGAATGGCCCCGATTGTTTGAGGGGGTTGAGGCTGCCCCCTCTTGTAGTTTCCCGACTGCTGTAAGGGTTTGCCATTTATGTCAATTTTTGCCCTGCACATATTAGCCCAATACTTTCCTCTTTTACATTTTGGGCACAATCCTGGTTGTTTTTCTTGTTCATTGCTATTATTCATTTTTCTACATTCCTTACTAAAATGCCCTGACTTGCCACAGCTGTAGCAATTACCTCTTCCTTTTTCTTTATTTCTCTGTTGCTGTTCCACTATTCCTTGAATAGTTGCTCCTTGCAGTGCTGCAGGTAATGTCAACCCTTGTATATATGATGGTCCAATATCGGCACAGAGACGTATATAATCCAATAGTGAACCCTTCTTTTTCCAAGGTCTAATAGTGGATTGACATGCTGAATTTGCATTCTCATAAGCCAACTGTGTTACTAGCAACATTTCTGCCTCTCTGTCAGGCACTAAGCAGTTAACTGCCTGAAGAAATCTGGAAACAAAATCTTGGTAAGGCTCATCAGGTCCCTGCCTTATTTTGGCTAGTTCTTCTGATTTTGTGCCAGGTGTAGGCAATGTATGCCAGGCCTTAGAAGCTAGTGCATTAATTGTATGATAAGCCTCCTGAGGGTAGATTACTTGTGCATCATTGGTTAAGTGAGGCCCTTCTCCTATTAACATCTCATAAGTTATAGGAATATTGTTTGCCCTGTTTCTGTTTTCAGCCTCATGACAACGATCATAAAATTTTGATTTCCATAATAAATTTTCTCCTCCTGTTAAACATGCTTTAGCTATAGATCTCTAATCATTAGGAGTTAAAGCGTCAGTAGCATTGTTTTCTAGGATGGTCAAAGTATACGGAGCAGTGGCCCATATTGAGTTGTAGCCTCTTTTAGCTCCTTTAACATTTTGAATGACAAAGGAGTGTAATATCTTTGCACCTGATTAGGATTATTAGGGTTTGGCTGCTCAGAGACTGGAAAGACAGCTAACCCAGAATTCCACACCTCCTCTCCACTCTCTTGCACTTTCAAGAGCATTCTTTGCAGTGGATATAGGGTATCCTTGATCTGTTTTTCCATACGTGGATAATTTACATTATTTTCTCTGTTATAATTATTCAATTTAGAATTTTCCTGATAATCTCTTTTCCATGGAGAGGCAGGTGAAGCAAAAGGGAAAGTTGGCTTTTGTTCAGAAGTTTGCACCAAAGATTGCACCAACTGCATCAATTGCCTGACAATCTCTGGAGTTACTTCCTTAGTTGTATTAGTCATAGCTAGATAGAGATTATCATCATCATTGTAAGGAGCAGCTGCATCATCTAATTCAGCCTGCTCTTCTGGTGGGAGCTCCTCAGCATCCCATTTGGAATCCTTACCCCCTTCTCTTTGTACATTCCCTCCCCCTTCTAATTTTTCCTCTAATATAGGAGCCTCCTCTTTTTGTTCTGTACTCCCTGTTTTACATTCAAACTCATGACTAGGATCAAGGGAATCACAGACTAGGCTCCAGAGAGAGAATGTATCCATGGGCACCTTTTCTGACCCATGAGCATGATACCAATCTTGTAATTTTCCCCCTACCTTTTCCCATGTTTTTATATTAACTGTACCTTCTTCAGGAAACCAAGGACAGACTATCTCTACGAATTTTAAAAACTTTAAAATATGTTCTTCAGAAACCTTTGATCCTCTTGTTCTTAACATAGAACGTAACATTTGAGCAAAAAGCCTCTGTGTTGAACTAGATTGCCCCATCTTATTTTACTCCTGACTATAAAACAAAAATGCTCCTCTTGCCTCAATTCCTTTTCTGGCGAGCACCACTTACATATAGAGGAGTTCCTCACCTTACCTTAAGTTGCTTCTCAAGTACTCAGGTCCCTGTTCAGGCGCCACTTGTCAGGAACCAGCCTGTAAGACAAACAAACCTGAGTTTGAGCGGTGGGAATTAAAGAGACAAAGTTATGGAATCAGGAGGGCTGCCCTCCAATGAGGTGCAGTGACAAATGGCTTCAATGCCTTTATTATATAGTAAGTAACAAACAATTAGTAATGAGGTGAGGGTGATACAAAGTAGTTCCTTCAAGGCTGCATGAACACTCTTTCAGAGTAAACACCCTGACTCCTGCATGACCCCATACCTTGGTAATTATCTTTATTTCGGCTCATAACAGGTACTTGTGGGGAGGGTTGATTCCCTGACTCCAGACCCTCAGGTGGTGTGGACCATGTCCAGACACATCACCGGCTCCCAACAGTATTATACTTAGAAACTCCTTAAAATTCCTCCAAAAAACTAATAGATTTAATAAATGAGTCTAGGAAGTTTGCAGGATATGAAGTTAAAATCCAGAAATAGATGGAGTTTTTTACACCCATAATAAGCTCTCAGAAAGAGAAACTAAAAAAGCAATCCCATTTACTATTGCAAAAAAAATTAGGAAACCTAAGAATAACCTAAACCAAGGGGGTGAAAGACCTGTATGTGGAAAATTACAGGGTATTGAAAAAGAGATAGAGAAAGATATAAGCAAATGGAAGAATATACTTTGTTTATGGATTGGAAGAACTTACATCATTAAAATGACCATACTACTCAAAATAATCTACAAATTTAATGCAATCCATATTAAATTACCAACAGCATATTTTACAGATCTAGAACAAGTATTCCAAAAATTTAAATGGAACTAAAAAAGACACTGAATATCCTCAGAAATCTTGAGAAGGAAGAACAAAGTTGGAGGGATCACAAAACCGGATATCCGATTATACTACATAGCCATTGTAATCAAAACAGACTAGTACTGGCATAAGAACAGGGTTATAGATCAATAAAAGAAAACAGAGAGCCCAGAAATCTACCCAAGACATTATGCTCAATTAATATTTAACAAAGGATGTAAGAGCTTACAATGGAGTAAAAACAGTCTCTTCAATAAATGGTGCTGGGAAAATTGGACAGGTACATGCAAAATAATGAAACTAGACTACCAACTTACACCCTACACAAGAATAAACTCAAAATGGATAGAAGACTTAACTGTAAGTTTTGAAACTATACAAATCCTAAAAGAAACCATAGGCCGCAAAATCTCATACATCTCTTGTGGCACTATGTTCGTCAATACATCTCTTAGGGCAAGGGAAACAAAGGAGAATATAAACAAATGGGACTATATCAAAATAAAAAAAGCAAGACAAAACAAAACTGCACAGCAAAAGAAACCATCAACAAAATGAAAAGGGAGCCCACTGTATGGAAGAACATATTTGACAATGATATACATCTGATAAGGTGTTAATTTCCAAAATATATAAAAAAACTCATACAACTTAACAAAAAGAAGAGAAACAATCCATTTTAAAAATGGCCAAAAGACCATAAAGAGACACTTCTCCAGAGGACATACAGATGGACAAGAGACAAATGAAAAAATTCTCAGTCACTAATCATCAGAGAGATGCAAATTAAAAGGACAATGGGGTATCACATCACACCTATCAGAATGGTTATCATCAACAAATCAACAAAGGCAAGTGCTGGTTAGGATGTGAAGAAAAAGGAACTGTAGTACACTGTTCTTGGGAATGCAGACTGGTGCAGCCACTATGGAAAACAGTATGCAAGTTCTTCAAAAAATTACCCCTATGTTCCTACCAGCGTAATTTACAATAGCTAAGATCTGGGAATAGCCAAGGTGCCTATCAATACGTGAGTGGATAAAAATGCTGTGGGACATTTACACCATGGAATACTATGCAGCTGTAAAGAAGAAGGATCTCTTTCTGTTTGGGATAACATGGATGGACCTGGAGAATATTATGCTAAGTGAAATAATCCAGGCAGAGAAAGACAAACATCACATGATCTCACTTATATGTAGAATCTAAAGAACTTAGTAAACTGATGAACAAAATAGTTTCAGTGACATGGAGTCATGGATCAGGCTGATGAGTCTCAGAGGAAAAGAGGGGGGTGAGTGGGTGGGATGAGGAAAGACTTACTAAAGAATTTATATGCATATATGCATAACCAAAGGACAAAGATAATGTGTGGTGAGGGACTGAGGAGGTGGGTGGGGCAGTGTAGAAGGGCTCAGTTGGGAGAAAAAGGGACATCTGTAATATTTTGAGCAATAAAAAAAACCAAAACTCAACATTGAAAAAATAGTTGAATTTAAAAATGGGCAAAAGTTAAAAAGGAAGGTGGCAGCACTATAACAAGAAGCCCAGCACCCTTTCTCCTAGCCACGGATTGGATTTATTCCTAAATACTGCATAACCAGCTTAGAAAAACAGAGAACAATACCTGAATGGACATATTTTGTGTAAAGAAACACTGAAGAAACATCATAGTCTGGTAAGACAGAAGCTTGTTGAAAGCGGGAGTCCCCCCTGAAGCCAGTGCTGGGTTGAGAGGCCTAGGGTTAGTGGCTGCAAACTTCCTTCCCCTTGGGAGTGTGGACTGGCATCCAAAAGCTGGGATCTCAAACCCAGAGTAGAGGAGAAGGGAAGGACAGCCAATGCATGGCAGGCAGAGGGAGCCAGGGAAACAGAGTGCCTGCAAGGAGAGGACTGCACCTTCCCAGTGAAAAAACATACTTAATAATGGCAGCCTGGACAGGAGACTTTCTCCCCAAATACTGATGGCAGGAAAGGCGGTCCCGCAGCATGTGGCTTCCAAATAGAAAGAGGCCAGAGGGCTGCACTAAGCAGCAACATAAAAAGACTATCTGATTTCCTGTAAGGCATCGTGTAGAACCCCAGAAAGCATATGAATTGTGTGGTATGGGGAAAGGGAAGAGAGCCTTCCCACCACCAGAGAGAGGACCTGAGCTTCCAGCAGGGCAGATGGGGGTCTCCAGCTGCCAGAGCTGCTGGGGGGTGAATCAGAGATTTTTGACCTGCCCTAAGGGGAGCTGGGATAGCACACAAGGAGCTGCTCCAGCTTTACTGAGATCAGCTGTGCAGGGGACCTGTGTGTGGCTGACTTTGTGAGCCCTCCAAGGCATGGGGGCGATAAGACCTCTCAGGGTGGGTTCTCTGCCAGTTTGTTGCTTTGTGAGTTTTTGATTGCTGCACAGGCATCCACCTTCCTGGCTTTCATTGGGGAGACAGACCAGCGAAAGCTGGGACTTGTGTCTGCATAGTGGACAGTTTGAAATAAACACCCCATGGTATCAGCCAACCAGATCTGGGAAAGGAGGGGCTGAGTACCCCTACCTCTGCTGTAGTCTAAGAGGACCAGCTCCAACAAGAAAGGGGCTGGTTCATCTGACTGCAGGGCACAGTCTTGAGAACGAAGGTAGAACAGCTCACAGGAGGACAATATAAGAATAAAAAATCTCAAGGACTACTGCATGGGAATTAGAGGAAAAGTGTAAAATCCCTTCTGGGGGCTCGGCAGACAACTCGCTCACTAGAATATTTTTTAAAAATCAAACCCACTGAGCCCAGGCCACTGAAACTGCCCGTACAGGAAAGACAACAAACAGAATTCAATCTGAAATTGTAGCAGGCCATTGTATGGGGAACTAAAATTGGAGGATATGGTAGAGACTGAGGAGTTGGCTTTGAAGCAGAGACTAACTTCCCCCCAATAATTGCCTTATAGCAAAACTTCTAAGTAAAGGGAGTAATATCGAGATCTACACTAGCCGGACTGAAATC